CTAGGCTGCATGTTGGCAACCAGATCAGTATCGGCCAATATGACCCATTAATAATCAGCTACTGGTATTAACCCCAAAAATCTTTATCAGTGCACCCCTAGTATTTTTGGATTTTTCCCAGAGTTCATTGCTGAGTGGATTGGAGTAGCTGGTTCTCATCACTGTTGATGCATAGGAATGAGCATCTCTTGAATGATTCCCTGACTTCAGCATTTTTGAACAAGGAAGGCCAACCATTTCTTAAAGCCTCTGCCTAAAGCACTTGACTGGATGCTGCAGCTTTCATTCTTAAAACTAAAGATTCAATATATAAAAGTTAATATTGTTGCAACGTGTAATATATTACACTGGAGCAGGGAGTTTGTAGTAAAACTAGATATAACCTAGCAGGGGGTCCGATTCCATGATCTACTAGATCCCATCTGACCCTAGAAATCTATGAAATCCCTTGCATGCATCTCTTCCTGTCAAACCAGAACAATGGGAGGCACTGCCTTTTGAAAGATGAGGTTGATATGGTCACATTGGTAATGGGCTGATGCAAGGCTACTGAACTACGTGAGACTACTGGGATCTATGCAAAAGGAGGTTATTGGGCATCACTACAGAGGGCCATTGGACAGGTATAAGACTGAAATGGAAACTGAATTCTCTTATAGGTGGCTCACTTGGGCAGCTAATTAAGCAGACGGGTTATTTGCCGGAGGACAGAGCCCTCAGTTACCTGGAGCAAACACTAGAGGGGCTGAAGCATCTTCATGCTTGCAACGTTCTGCATGGAGATGTAAAAGGTAGAGTTGCATTTCAAGCACCCTTTTATTCTCTCTCCTTTTTCTTTTAACAAGCTTTGAGTGAACAGGTTTCTGTTAATTCCACATCACTCTTGGGTAGTGTAGTGGGACAGTTTACTTGTCTTTTAGCTCAGTACATTCAAGCTGAAAGCTCCATTTTCATTACAAATGCTACAGTTTTAAGGCTTCTGTTCCTTGCTCAGATTGGCATGACTGGCTGTTTTGCCCTGGGTGGTCCAGGGCTGATAAAAAGGGACTCTACAGGTTAGAACTGAGAGGTATTGGCAAAGTGGTGCACAGCAGCAGCTCAGCAGACTAATGCTATCTGCTTACTTTCATGAGTAGGTTTGGGCTCAACAAAGACTAGCTTTTTGGCTCTCTTTGCCCAAGGGTGACACGTGAAAATGAGCTTGACCTTAAAACCTTCTAATTGACAGCGGACAATGTACTCTTATCCAGTGATGGAAGCAGGGCTCTCCTCTGTGACTTTGGTCATTCTGCTCACCTTCATCCGGATGGCTTGGGGAAACGCTTGGTGACAGGTAAGGTCTGTCTTCAGTGTTCAGGAGACTTTCTCACTGAGCCAAGTACTTTCTGTCTCTTGTACCTTGTACGTTCTCCACTATCAGGCCAGCCTTGCCACTGCAACATGTCTGCTGGTTTAACATGAAGCAGCTTTGATCCAGAGGTTGGAAGCAAAGCAAGAAAGAAGAAAGCAGCATGCTATAAATTTGGACACTAACCATGAGTGAGCGGTGCCTCCTGAATCTGGGGGGGGGCACCTGCAGAAGCTGCTGACAGCGGCACCAGCCCCATCAGGGGGGCCACGTGCACCCCCCTACCAGTCCACCTATGATGCCACTTTCATCACTGCAGTTAAAACGTGTTGCTGTCTTCATGATAACTTTACTGGCAATGGGTTTCTTTTATGCCTGGAACTTGATCTCAGGCTCCTAACCCAGATGGTGGCTTTCTCTAGTAAAATGAAATCAATTAATCTAAATAGTTGTCTGTTTTGTGTTTTGAAGAGAACCTTTAAAAGCTTTTTCTTTTTTAAACAGCTGATACTATTTTATTGTGTCAAGCACCTGAGCCCCTGTGGTGAAACATTGGCCTCCTTGACATGAATAATTTCTTTAACTTCAGTGAAGGCCAGGAGTTCATCCTGCCTTTAAACATGTGTGCCTGTTCCAGCT